CGCATCAGTGATAGTGAAGGCTCTAACTCCTGTCCATGTCAGAGTTTTAGTGGGATGGTCCAGCGTTTGCCTCCCTCTCACCCCAAGGCAGGGCTCTGCCCAAGTGGCTGTGGGGGCTGCAGGTACAACATACAACACTAGACAGTGCTGAAATTGCAGAAAAGAGAATAAAGAGGAAGTGCAGAGTTACGTATCTCCAGTCAGAGGTCTTGGGAACAAGATGGAGTTGCCAGTCGTTAACAGGTCTGGGACAGAATGAAGGCCAGACAGGAAGTCGGCACGTTTCCTGCTTCCTTTTCACAGACTGAGGAGCAGGGATTTCCCATGTCAGGTTCTCCTCCAGGAGCAGCTCTCCTTGCTGTAACCCTGCAGAAGTGCAATGGAGAGTTCTGTCCAGCCAGGGGACCCTGGCTGTCATCCCAGCTCCACGTTAGCTTCTACCCTATGGCCTCTCTGGGCCTCAGTTTACCTTCTCTTGGGGCCTGTGGCAGTTTAAGCTGATGCTTGAGTTTGTTGGTCACTGCGTCCTCATCCTCCTCCCCAGCTAGCCCTGGAGCTTCCAGGGCAGAGATGAGTCTGGTGTGTTCCATTCCCCACTACCACCGCCAGCGTGGGGCTGGCCGGACACACAGGAGGCGAGCGCCCAGGATACGTATGTGTGTGGGTGACTAGGAGCACTCAGGTCCTTCAGCCTCTAGGGTTTCTTCCTCTCATCTCTGCTGCTTGTGCCCTCTGTGCGATATGGAGGCGCCACTTGTCTGCTTGTAGAATGGTGGACCAGCTAAGGCCCTGGAAATGGACTTTGAGGCCTGGTTCTGTCACTTAAAGCTTTGCAGTCTCAAACAGGAGGGTTCACTTTTCTGAGCCTCAATTCCTTGGCTATAAAAAGGAACAGTTGATAGCCTCCCTGTGAGGTTTCAAGGGTTATGTGAGCTAATTAATGTAGGTGCGGGGTGTGTGGCTCTGTTATTATTACTATAATTGTTCCCATTTCGATGATGAGAAGAGAGAAGTGTGGTCAGTGGCAGTTGGGATTTGAATTTTGATTCTTTCTAAACCCTATTTCTTTACCTACAATGGACAAGGACATGGTATCATGAAGAGAGAGCCCTGAGCTGAAGTTAGGAGATGTGGCTCAGCCACCAGCTAGTTCTCTGTGGCCTTAGAAAGGTCATATCTCTGTCCTAGGCCTCTCCTTTCTCTAACTATAGATAAAGGGCATTGGAAGAAGTAATCTGTCAGGCCACCCAACAAATAGGTGACTCTTCTCCCCAGACTTGTATGGGGACCTGCGGCCCAACCTGGCCCAATATTGTGTGCCTCCAAGACGCCTGTCCACATCCACCATCGTCATGGCTTGTCGGGGTGAGGGGGGCTGATCAGGTAGCACATGGGACAGAAAGCCTGAGACCTGTGGGAGAAATGGTCTCACTGGGGCCGGCCGCAGGCCCGTCCTGGCCGAGCAGGCTTCCAGATGTACACTTTGGGTTCTTGCGAAGCTCTCAGCAAGTAGAAGCCAGGGAGGCCCCCTGGAGGAGTTGTCTTGTATGGGAAAACTCAGCATTATTGTCCGCTTGAACTCCCCCTTCTCCCACCTTCCACCTCAGTCTCTCCACTGCCTCTCAGTTCTGTTCAGAGTTTGGGGAAAGAGAAAAGCCCACATCCCAACAAAGGTCAAAATCCTCAGACTAGATCCTTTTTTATCTGCCTTCTACATAGCCTTTGCCCAAGTGGGTAATGAATTGAAAAGACCATAAAGTCTGCTTTTTCTAAACCTACCTGTTGGTCTCTTGTTGAGAAGGTAGACTGGGAAGAGAACACTTTTTCGTAGCCTAATAAGACCCAGGGCAGCAGATTCTGTGCCTCCTCATGGAGGCCACCATGTCTGTCGTCTTTGCAGAGGCAAACATTTTCCCCAACATGGGGCCCCATTCTCTGCTCCTGAAAATGTGCTATTGCATATGGTCTCAGGGACAGAGTTAGGGACGCAGAGCTCCAGGCTGAGTAGAGGTAGCAGAGGTGCAGAGAACAGAGCTTTGGCTGGATGTGGGGGGAAATCCCCTGGCAGTGGTAGACTTCTGGCTCTATGGAAGAAAAGCTCTCTGCTGACAGAGCTCCCAGTACAGAGCAGGAGCCTGGTCAGCAGGTGACCAGGGCTGGGAGAGGAGCTTCATGTGGCTTCCTGCCCTGTAGAGGATGCTGATCTGTACTTCTGCCTAAGCCGAGTGTGGTGGGATTTTTCTCTGTGGGTGACTGGCTGGCCTGGGCTGGAGTTCCCTTGTCTTTAGCAGTCTGAACCCTGGCTCCAAGTCAGAGGAGAGACTTCTGAGCTGCTACGCCCTCCCCAGGCTCCCCAGCCCACCCCACCCTGTTCCCCACAGGCTAGAGAGGTTACTGGGGCTGGGCGGGGGCCTCCCTGCCCAGCCGCACTTCCTGGCCTTCCTGTGAATGGGCACTGGCATTGGGGCTGACTTTGCCACAGTCCCTCACTCAGGGACTAGTCACCGGAATCCATGGGGAGCTTCTAAGGGAGGTAGAAGTGAGGTACACACCCTGGCCCTCTGAATCTTGGGGGCCCAGGTGGCCTAACCCAGGGCAGAGAGACCCCTTGGCATGGCAGGCAGAGCCCTCCAGACCTGGGTTTGAGTGTTAGCCCTTAGTAAGGACTGCCGGCGATTGAGGCTCACTGCGGGTATCAGACTCTCTTGGGTGCTTTACATAGATTTTCTATCATCAGTCATCAAGTCAGCCACTGATACCCTCCCGAGGCTGATGGGGGCACCGGTGTGGGGCGCCTGCCCCAAGTTACAGTGGGTGTTACCAGGGAGGGCCACGAAGGACCAGGAGCGGGAAGGCACTCCCTTCCTGCCAAGAGCTGGGAAACCAGTAGAAGGCCCTTTGCCCCCTCTTGGCAACTAGACCTCACCCTTGAACCCTTCTCCTGCATTCTTTTTATTTTTCTTTTTTTGGGGGGTTGGCTTCAAATTATCTTATTTTGTTTACATTGCACCCAAGTTGCATTGTACAAAAGACTTGCAGGTGCAAATATGTCCCGTCTTTATTAACTTCCCCTCCCTTTTTAATTTATGTGATTTCAATTTTCCTTCCCTGTACTGTTAATTAGGGGACCCTCTAATCAGTGCCATTATCACAGTGGTATTCATGTTTAGGAAAGCCGCTAAACAAATGCTTGCAAAATTGCTAAATGGCTAATTAATGTCTGTTAATTAAGAAAATTGCTCATGGTAACAAACCATGCCGTTGCTGGCAGCCGCTAGAAAGACACACACTTGTTGAAATTAGTAGCATGGCAGGTAGGGGAACATCTGCTCTGTGGAGCTTTCCGGAAGTGAGCAGCCCCTTGCTCGACCAAGAAACTCCAGGCCTGTCCTCATTGGCCCCCCCAGATTCTTGTACGGCTGCCTCCGTCTTCCTCTGCACACCTCTTCTCTGTGTCTCTGTGCCCACCGGCTTGTGCCCACCCCTCCGCCCCTCCCCAGCTCTGGGCTCTGTTTCCTGAGCAGGCGGGAGGTAGGGCAGCCTGGTTTTGAGGCATAAGACTGAGGAGGAAAACCCTATCTTTGACTCTGAAAGGTTCTTTCTCCCTCTCTTTTTAAATACCCAGCCCCTATGTATGTTTTGATTTTTTCTCAAAAGCAACTTCCAAGGGTCATGGCATAATCTTGGGTGGAGAAGAGTAAATGAGGGCACGCTCCTCATCTCCAGCAACAGTGTCCAGCTCCAGATGTCCTGAGTGGACAGGAAGGTTCTGCCAAGCTAGACTTTTCATGCTCTTCAATCCACAGTAGGCAACACATTCAACATTGTGAACCAGTGTATACACATATGTGCATATTTACAAATGAAATGGAAGTTAATGAAAAATATTTGCCTTAAAACACACAAAGCTGTTTGACGTTTTCTATTCTATTTTTTATTCTGTTCCAGGATTTTAAAAAAAGCCAATGGTTCAACCCACTAAATTCATTTCACTACCACTAAAGGGTCGCAACCCACAGTTTGAACAACTCTGTGGTTTAAGTGAATACATTTGCCCACTTTTGTGAGGGGAGTCAAGTCAGCATAGCCCAGGGCTTTGGGGGTCATCTGGGAACCATAGGTGGCTCACCACCAACTTGAGCAGAAAGCCCAGCCCTTCCACCCACCCGCCCAGCAGCCCGCAGCCCTGTCCCCCTGCTCTTCTGCACATACCAGCTTGAGCTCTGGGCTTGGACCCAGCAAGCTTCTCATCCTGATTCTGCCATCTACCAGCTGTGTGGCTGTAGCCAAGTGCTCTCATCCCTTGAGACTCAGTTTCCTCATCAGTAAAAGTAGGAATGAGAAACCCCACCTCACCAGCCCATTTTCAAGTGGTGAATTAAAGACCTGCACTGAGTGTAATGCCCCCCACACTCGGTAACTGTCTCTTCCTTCCATTCCCCCATTTGTTGTGTCTCTGGCACCACCTCACTCCTGTCTGTTCTTGTTTGTCCACCAGGCCCCCTCCCCTTGGTAGACTGGTTTCTGGGTACCCTCCGCCTGTCTCTGTGCCCACAGGATGGGGGCCCCTGGAGGGCAGGGCTTCCCCTGACTCTCCCCGTGCCCATGAGTGGCACTTGGGCTGTGCCAAGTGGGGCTGGTGCCCGTGCTCTCTCCGAGCCTACCCCCACCAGCGTATTTGACATGGCAAACTCTGCTCCAATGGTAGATGATGCCTGAGCCCCCCTGCTCCTGCGTGCTTTGACAAAGGAGCTTGATTTGATTTTTCATTCCTGTGAATCCCCCGTGAGTGTGTTCATCAGCTTCTCTCCCTCCCGCTCGCCGCGTACACCGTTGAGCCAGCGACCTCAGCAGCAGCTCGCACCTCCCCGCCAACCAGAGTCCGCCGCCCGCACGCCCGCCGCCTGCCCCTCGTTTTGGTTTAATTTTTGTTCTTTTAAGCTTCTGCGCTTCTCCATGTGCTGTGATCTATAACCTGCCTCTACTGTCTGGCCTCACAGGGTCCTCCGGGGTCACAGCCCTCGCCGCACGCACAGCCTCCACCTCACAATCCCAGCAGCATGATGGGACCCCACAGTCAGGTAAAAGCACTGTGGCCCGCCTGCCCGCCCGGGGTCATGGGGCACCAGGAGGACAGAGCCAGCAGAGGAAAAACAAAAATCAAAATGTGCTCTAGCCATTGCCTTCGAGTCTTCATGGACAAATGAAATTTAAAAAAAAAAATTTTTTTTCTTTAAAGATAGTCTTCATTCCTTGGACACCAACCCCAGCTTAGATATGGAACCAAAAGACAAGAAAAAAAATATTTCTGTGACCTTGTCAGTGGCCTCTGCGTTTTTGTTTTTTCCTCTCACTTTTGGTTTGGTTTTTGAGTTTGTAACCATTTGTTTGTAATTGAAGCTGCATCCCTAGCCTTTCCTTTGTGCACTCTCACTGCTGAGAAAGCTTTCTTGCCCATTCCCCCGCATTAAATTAGGGAGCCCGCTGCCCCCTTACCGTTTTCATTGTTTCCCTCCTTCAATCCTCATTCCCCTTCCCCACCCCCTTTGTCAGTGGTTTCTGTGTGCGTGCGTGTGTGTGTGGTGCATGTGTGCATGTGTGTCCAGTGTTGTCTGCACACCCTAAAAATGTGATGTGTAAGTCCCTTTCTGATTCTTCTGTTTGCCCTTACTGAGAGCAGAGGTGTCCTCCCTTGCCCTGCATTGATGTAACTGCTCTTCTGCATCCTATTCAAAGCCCCAACCGCTGCCCTTCCACCCAAAGTAGATCTCTGCGAACAAATGTGGAGTCAGGAGTCACATATGTTGTGCGCACCTATTGTTCCCTCTGTCCAAAGGAAGTTTTGCCCGGAGGGAAGAGGCTACCAGGAAAAAAGAGAGTTTAAAAGATCACTAGTTGTAACAAAACTGGACTTTGTGGAGTGGAGTGCATTTGTGTTTGTCACTGTGCAGTAGCACAGGCTATCATTGAACTAATTCCCTGTAATTGCAGCCTTTTATGTCACCACGATATGCAGGCGGCCCCAGGCCCCCAATCAGAATGGGAAACCAGGTACTGTACCTTTTCATGTTCTCTCTCCCTTCACTCGGCCACCATTGACCCCAGTTGGACTTTGACTCAAATAGAAATTCAGGGGAAGGATTGGGAAGTGGAAGACAGGTTTTAACGTGGAGGGTATCTGCACGCAGGTCCCCAGAGAGGGGGCCCTATGTCCACTCTGTGCCCATGGGACAGCTCTCCTTCCAGCATTCCACCCGCCTCCCCGGATGGGCTTTTGGGGAGCCAGTTCCGGAGCTCGGAGGGCGGCAGAAGCAGCCAGGGTGGGAATGCAGGGTTTCAGCTATTCTAGAGGAGGTGGTGATGCCCTCGCCCCTCCCTTCCAGCCCCTTCTTGGAAAAGGGTCTTCCTCCTTAATGAAGTTAATTGACAATGTGCATTTTTTCCTGGAAGCTTTTGAGAATTGCCAAGGCTGGTAAATATAATCCTGCTATTAAGAGGAGAAATGGCCCGTAGGAATGCTTAGATCAGGAGCCTGGATGCAGCAGAGCAGGACATTTGTGAGTTTTTAAGCAATGTCTGCCTACTTCCCAGACCCAGCTCAAAACAAGAAAGGATTTGTTCATGTAATTAGAAAAGTGGTCTGCTTAAGGAAAGGGCTTTTCAGCCTGGGGTTGTGTGCCTTATGCTGGCCCATTAGGGTTGGCAATTCTAGGTGGTCTGGAGAAATCAGCCCCTACACTACCCTCCCTGGTTCAGCCCATCCAGGGCTGGGAGGGAAGCTGGAGAGGTAAAGATGAGTATCCTCTTCTGAGCATAATCAGATTTAAAAGACACTTTAAAGAAACATCAGGGAAATTTATTTTCATGCCAAAGTATTTTTTATACATAGTTGTCAGTGTGACCTTGCAAAAGCCCTTCACAAAGTCTGGCATCGATGTGAGTGCTTCCAGCCCCTGTTGCCTTTGGAGCTGGAGAGTTCAGTCACCAGCTAGACTGGCCTCCTCTGAGCATGATTCCCTCCGTTCCCAAGGCTCGGCAGGAAGGCCTCTGAGTGAGACAACACGGGGACTATGGACAGGGCTCATAACCAAGGGCCTCTGATTTTGAAATTAAATTGCTTATCAGTTTTTAATTACGTTTTTCTCCAAAAGTTTTTTGTTTCCTATTTTCTCTGACATAAAGGGCACAGATTTGGACGAGAACTAGAGACCCAATTTTTTGAGCCAGGAGGGACTCTTGAATACATCACAGAAGAGGACACCGGGTCGGAGTTGGGGAGTGACTTTGCAGTCTTCCAGGGAACAGGGCTTAAGTCAGTCACCCACTCCAGGCCCAGTGCTGCCTGCTCTCTGCCTCCCTCCATTCAGTGTGGTAAAAATGCTGCCCCCGCCTTAGCTTTTAGCTGGTCACCAAGTGGCCTCCTTTGATATGAATCACATGGGCCCTGGAAGCAACTTTGCCTCCTGCCTTTCCAGGGGCTCTCCTTGGCCTGAATTGGCCCCCGCCTCAGGAGAGAACAGATGCTTCCTTAGCATAATTGCTGCCTTTCCTCCAGCAGTTAAAGGACACGAGAAGAGACATGTATGTTTCTGTTTATCAAGTTCGCATTAATAAATACCCAAGAGACCAAGTGGACCGTACATCCTTCACCTGTACCTCATGTTACAAACCACTTGTCCCAGTCTCCCTGCTGCCCCCCACTGGCTATCTACACTAATTTTCTGGTTTCCTGTGAACTCCGGGAAGTTATTCTCCTCCCAGAGGGATGTTGCGCTCGCCCAGGTATTGCCCGGGTGGCTTCTTGAAGAGTACCTCAGTTGGGGCTGCCCATTGGACAGAAACCTCTGTACCACTCCGTTAGCTCAGCCTCCCCCTGGCCCCCAAGCCCCATGGCAGGTGCAGGAAGCACAGGCAGCAGGACTTGCTCAGGCTCACATGAACTCCCAGGTTAGGGCAATGAGAAGGGCGCTTGGGGCACAAGAAGCTAAAGGTCGCTGAGCTGGCCCTAAAGCTTTGGACGGCCATCTCCCACCTACCTCCCAGGGGGCTGGAAGTTTGGGGCCATGGATAAAGCATTGCTGTTTTTCAAGCAGGAGTGGGTGGGTAGGTGTTCAGTGGGGCTCAGCTCTGGGTTGAGGAGTGGAAGATTGGAATCCAGGGTTGTCAGGCAGCCCTCCCATACATGTGCCAGCGAAATCCCCGCCATGGTGACTGACTCGGGCAGGCAGCTGAGGGACCTGGTGTTTGTCCGTTCCCTGCGCTGACACTTCCTCCTTCCAGGAGCCCGTGGGATAGCCCCAGAGTATGTCACTCCAGCAGGCTCGAGTGCGTGCACAGCACGTGCTTATAGTCGCACACACTAGCTGGTGGTTTCCTTTCTTACATCTGCGGGCTCCACCCTTCCCACTGCAAGACCCTTGTACCTCAATCATTGTACACCTTCCATTCCTTGTAGAGGAGGCCCAGCCTGCCCCATCTCAGGGTCGCCCCAGTGAGGGAAGGAAAGAGTGATGCCCAGGCCCTCTCTAGGAAGCCCAGCTGCGCTCCTGAGTCCTGAAACAGGGGTAGGGACATAAGGAGGTATTTTCTACAAAAACTGATGGCCAACACCAGGCTAACTGGAGAGGGGGCAATTGCCCCACTCTGTCAGCTGCTCCATCAAGTTTGAATGGGTGCACTCCATGGCCTGGGGGGATCTCCCATCCACCTCAATATCCTGGGATCCCCCAAACCAGACAGCCTTAGAGGCAGGCCTTCCCGTGTCCTCTCAGACTCATGTAACCAAGTTCTAGAAATATTCTAAGCTCCCAGGTGGGCAGCCACAAATCAGTCATGTGACTGAGAGCTTAGGGACTCAGGGAGAGGAAGCAGGGATGGAAGAAAGCAAGCTGTCTGAGCAGCTCAAACCGAGGGGCTAGAGAGAGAGAGAGAAACTCGCAGCACCCCAGCATCAGGGACCTGCCTGCTAGACATGCACACACACCCCATTCTGAAGCCAGGGAAAACAGTGAGGACTTGTTCCTTCACTTCCACCACCTCATTCCAAAACCAGTTTGTAGTTCACCATTGATCCAAAGGCAGACCAGCTCCACTCAGCCATCGCCATAGCAGAGGGCAGGACTGGGGGTCCCTGTCACACGTGCCCAGTCCCCTGCAGATAAGAGAGGGTGATAAGCTTCTACAAAGGCATGGATGGGCCCATGTACTCCTGAGGCGTGGGGTTCTGGAAGCAGCTGTCCCCCACCCCAGCTCTGCTGCTCTGTTTTTGCAGATTGCAGCTGAAAGAACTTCAGCCACCCAGAAACCCCTTTTCATAGGCTCTCACAGTGGGTGTGCCAACCAGCTGCGCTCCTGAGTCCTGAAACAGGGGTAGGGACATAAGGAGGTATTTTCTACAAAAACTGATGGCCAACACCAGGCTAACTGGAGAGGGGGCAATTGCCCCACTCTGTCAGCTGCTCCATCAAGTTTGAATGGGTGCACTCCATGGCCTGGGGGGATCTCCCATCCACCTCAATATCCTGGGATCCCCCAAACCAGACAGCCTTAGAGGCAGGCCTTCCCGTGTCCTCTCAGACTCATGTAACCAAGTTCTAGAAATATTCTAAGCTCCCAGGTGGGCAGCCACAAATCAGTCATGTGACTGAGAGCTTAGGGACTCAGGGAGAGGAAGCAGGGATGGAAGAAAGCAAGCTGTCTGAGCAGCTCAAACCGAGGGGCTAGAGAGAGAGAGAGAAACTCGCAGCACCCCAGCATCAGGGACCTGCCTGCTAGACATGCACACACACCCCATTCTGAAGCCAGGGAAAACAGTGAGGACTTGTTCCTTCACTTCCACCACCTCATTCCAAAACCAGTTTGTAGTTCACCATTGATCCAAAGGCAGACCAGCTCCACTCAGCCATCGCCATAGCAGAGGGCAGGACTGGGGGTCCCTGTCACACGTGCCCAGTCCCCTGCAGATAAGAGAGGGTGATAAGCTTCTACAAAGGCATGGATGGGCCCATGTACTCCTGAGGCGTGGGGTTCTGGAAGCAGCTGTCCCCCACCCCAGCTCTGCTGCTCTGTTTTTGCAGATTGCAGCTGAAAGAACTTCAGCCACCCAGAAACCCCTTTTCATAGGCTCTCACAGTGGGTGTGCCAAGTGCGCATTCAGGAAACCCGCAGCACCCTGCCCCTGTCTGCACCTTCTTAATGGCCGTCCCACCAGCACCTGCTGCCATGCAGCAGGCTTTGGGGAGCAGGTTCTCACTCAGCATCCCAATCATCCCTCTCCAAGAGGCTGCCTCTTCACCCCTGGGTTCAGAAGGTGACATTTCATGTAGTGAAAGAAGACAGAGTGAGGAGTCTTAAGTACTCATCCTGGCTCTGCCAGTAGGTGACCAGTGACTGTTGGGTCTCTGGGCCTCAGTTCCCCCATCTAAATCTCAGAGGCCACTCCCTCCCCTGCTTTCCTTTAAAAATGACCTCCTGTAGTGATAGGATGCTAGCTAGTGGGTCTTGGTCCTCACAGGTGGGAGGTGGGGTTAAAATGAGCTACATCTCTGTGAGGCAAAGGACAGATGGGTTTGGCCTAAACTGCAGTGGCCGGCATTTAGGTGGTAAGGGGGAGGGGTGTGCTGCCTGGGAGGGGCATGTGACAGGTGGCACAGCCAGAATATGACTGGGCTTTGGCAGATAACACACACCCACAAAGATAGCAGGGTGGGGTGATGGTTCCTGCCCACCATTGCTGCAGTTGAGAACCGGTTGGCCCTGACCCCTGCTCCCGGGGTCTTCTTTTAGTCAGCAGGTGGCAGGAATGCCCCCAGGGAGCCCACGAGTGGCCCACAGGTCGGGTGAGAGCAGGTGATCTCCCTCTGCCCCCCTGCCCCCCCAGCTGCGGGCGCAGCTGCTCAGCCGGCCTCTCACATCTCTTTCAGCCTCCGGGAGGAGTTCCTGGGACACAGCCACTGCTGCCCAATTCCATGGATCCCACCCGACAACAAGGTAGAGAGGGCGGGGCGGGGCTGCGTGGCCGGTCGGGAGGGCCTCCTCCTCCATCTGCCTCTGGCTCCTCACTGCTCACCTACTCTCCCTCCAGGACACCCCAACATGGGAGGATCAATGCAGAGAATGAACCCTCCCCGAGGCATGGGGCCCATGGGGCCCGGCCCACAGGTAACCACCTGTCTGTCTGTCCATCTCCCTCGCCATCTGTTTGCACGCGCCTGCTCTCCTCTTTCCATAGTTTGTCAGTCTTTTCACACTACTCAGCTTGCAGCGCGGGGGCACAGGGGGTGGTATGACAGGTTTTTCTCTGTCCATGTACAGCCAGGAGCAGCCCCACTCTGCACATGGCAGACAGAGTGGAGGGACTCCCAGGGAGGAAGGGCATCTGGGGGTTTTGAGTTGGCAGTTCCCTCCGCGGAAGGGTTTTAGGGATTTGGAAGGCAGGGGTCTGGTGCCTGAGTAGTGGTGTGGGTCTTCCACCAATCCCAAAGCCTCCCATCATGGGTGGTGGACTTGAGCTGGCTTAATGGTCACAATAAAGGCTGGACTCATGAGTGGTTGTCCTAGCTCTGCTGAAAACTCTTCGTTTGTCTGTCCTTGGATGAATCCCTTTGACCTCGACCTTAGTTCCCCACCTGTCCATGGGGGTGAGCCTAGTCCATGGTTCTCAGCAATACGAGCCCCAGTGAGAGGAGGCAGCTGGCCGGGGCCCCAAACACCCACTGTCATCCAGAACTTTTGCCAGTTTCATAGACCAGGTTCCTGCCTGAGATTTCTTTTGAACAGAGGGCCTCCACTGCCCAAAAGGAGAGTTAGAAACCTCTGGAAGAAATTATTTCAAGTGCCCTGTCTACCTCTTCAGTTATAACACAGTGGTTGATGCTTGTGACCCGGCTCCACACCCCACAGGCACCAGGTTCACAGGCCCAGCAGGCAGGGGTCTGACAGGCCACTCCTGTACAGCCTTGTCACAGCTGGCTCCCACTGTTCAGACTGTGTGACTGTGGCTCTGCTCCCTGCAGTAGCTGGGGCACAGAGCTTGCTGTGTTCTGCCCTCCTTGAAAATTCTCTGGATTCTGAATATGTAAAAGAAGCTAGGCATCTGAAGAAGGAGACTGGAGCTTCACAGGGAGAATAGGAGGGTTTGGGACAAGAGTGTTCCTTCCCTTCTTACCTGCCCTGTCTGGAAGCCTACTTGTCTCTCCCATCCTCCTGAAGATGTTTGGATTCTCTGGGCCCTTCTCCAGGTTTCTGGTTCCTGTGGGATGGAGCCGTGCCCCTGCTCAAACACAGTGCATCCCCTTTGTAGGGAGAGCTGTTTGCGCACTCCCCACAGTCATCTGCTGTGTCTGGAGTTGTATTTACAGCACACCCAGCCTGCTGCTTTCTGTCTGTGGTGGCTGCAACATCTGTGGCGTTGAAAGATTTTAGGGAGGTCTTGTCATCCATTAGCCATGAATCCCTTTGACCTCGACCTTAGTTCCCCACCTGTCCATGGGGGTGAGCCTAGTCCATGGTTCTCAGCAATACGAGCCCCAGTGAGAGGAGGCAGCTGGCCGGGGCCCCAAACACCCACTGTCATCCAGAACTTTTGCCAGTTTCATAGACCAGGTTCCTGCCTGAGATTTCTTTTGAACAGAGGGCCTCCACTGCCCAAAAGGAGAGTTAGAAACCTCTGGAAGAAATTATTTCAAGTGCCCTGTCTACCTCTTCAGTTATAACACAGTGGTTGATGCTTGTGACCCGGCTCCACACCCCACAGGCACCAGGTTCACAGGCCCAGCAGGCAGGGGTCTGACAGGCCACTCCTGTACAGCCTTGTCACAGCTGGCTCCCACTGTTCAGACTGTGTGACTGTGGCTCTGCTCCCTGCAGTAGCTGGGGCACAGAGCTTGCTGTGTTCTGCCCTCCTTGAAAATTCTCTGGATTCTGAATATGTAAAAGAAGCTAGGCATCTGAAGAAGGAGACTGGAGCTTCACAGGGAGAATAGGAGGGTTTGGGACAAGAGTGTTCCTTCCCTTCTTACCTGCCCTGTCTGGAAGCCTACTTGTCTCTCCCATCCTCCTGAAGATGTTTGGATTCTCTGGGCCCTTCTCCAGGTTTCTGGTTCCTGTGGGATGGACCCGTGCCCCTGCTCAAACACAGTGCATCCCCTTTGTAGGGAGAGCTGTTTGCGCACTCCCCACAGTCATCTGCTGTGTCTGGAGTTGTATTTACAGCACACCCAGCCTGCTGCTTTCTGTCTGTGGTGGCTGCAACATCTGTGGCGTTGAAAGATTTTAGGGAGGTCTTGTCATCCATTAGCCCTGTAATCCTAAAAGGAAGCAAGCCCACACCAATTGCAGCCCCAGTTTTCCTTTTTTTTTTTTTTAAATTAAATCCTCAAAGCTTGTGTTTTCACCAGCTCCTTTCAAGTCAGAGTGGCCCCTTCCTGCCCTGCAGCTAGCTGTCTTGAGCTGACCTCTGCAGGGTGACTGGGCCCAGAAACCTGTGGGAGGGGTGGCAGGGTCTCCAAGCAATATTTCCTCTCAAGTCAGGAACTTTGAGACCCTTCCACTGCTCATTACAGATACTCTTGCGTAGCAGTCGGCGGTGGCCTAGACTTGCGGAATGTCCTGGGGGGATACAAGAGGATGGAGTGTGAGGCAGGAAACCTTCATTCCCACAGCACTGAGCATTCTTATTGCACTTCCAGCCTCCCTGCACCCCCCACCCGGACACAGGGTTCCTGGTGGAGTAGTAGCTATACCTGTAACACAGGAAGGAGACAGGCATCTTCCTTGAGGGGTCCTGGGAGGAGGCAGCCGACATTCTTGATGTGATGCTTGGCATGGTGTAGACTCTTAATAAGCAATTTATGTTTTCCAACTTAGGGGCTCAAAACCAGTGTTCAGGGTTACTTGAGTTTCGTGATTGCTGTGAGCTTTTCACAAATGTTTTCAGGCAAAGGCCATTAATAGCTTGTTAAGCCTATAGTCATACTGAGGTACTAGAAGCTGGGAGTGGATATTGTCAGACTGTCTGAGAGTAGTATTCCAGAGTTTCTGGGGTCTTGTCATGTCACTGTCTTTGACCAGGAGTCTGGCACGTTGTTATGGCATGCTTTAATGTCCTGGAAGCCACCGTCTTGCTACAAGGGCCAGCTGGGCCCCACGTGGCTCTCTGGGCCTCTCCAAGCTATGTACTTGCGTGGAGTGCTCCCTAAGGCCCTGAGAGGGGTGCCCAGAGCAGAGGGAGGTGCTAGCCCAGGATGTGGCTCACTGACCTTCTCCACCTCACTAACCTCAGGGGCTCTGAAATTCTCTTTGCTATTTATTTATAATTTTGTCAATAGCGAGACCCTACAGTACTTTTTCCTACCTCTGGGTAGGGTGCAGTATTAAATCCCACGGCCAAGCCTCCCTCAGGGCAACCCAGAATGTCTGTACCAGCCCTTTACCGGGGACAGAAAGGCCTGGCCTTGTGTGGAACAGGGCCTAGGCAATGTTGGGGTGTGGGATGGATTGGAGGTTCTGGGCCAGTCAAGGAGAGCACTGCAGAGCCTGAAAGTTTCAGATGCCAAGGCCAAGGGTGGGGAAAGGGCAGACGTCCCCCAGTGCTACTCCCCACCCCCTTTTTCTGTGTCCCCTGAGGGTGCTACCCTGGTCACTCTCAGTGGACAGGAGAAGGACAGACTCAGAACTTAGTGCTGGAAAACCACGATTCTGGTCGTGGCTCAGCCTGACTGGGTCTCCATCCCCTCATGTGCAAAGTGGACAGCCAGGCGATAACCTCATAGCTCACTGTGCGCAAAGCAGTAGCTGCATAGCACCTCAAAGTGCTCCACGGATCCCACTCCCTCCCTGGAATTCAGGCCTGCGCTCTTAGGAAAGCCCTTCAGGCAGCTTTCAGTAAGCACCACTGAGTGTACAGTGCTGTGCTGAGACCAGGTACGAAATGGGGAAACCATCAGCCTGTTATCCAAGTGGGAAGGGAAGAAGATTCCTGGTGGTAGTGGCCACTGCAGAACCTGCTGAGCAAAGACCAGTATGATCTAATCTGTTTTGCAGGTTTCAGACCAAAACAGAGTGACACTGCATTTTGTGGGGGGAAGACACTTTAGCCTAAATGTCACGAAAGAACTAGCATACCGGGCATCACCCTGCCTTTGCCCACAGTGCCTCAGATTTTCCTGTGTTTTTATGAAATGGCCAGCACCAAAAGGGGGTAGTATTTCCACTTAATTGTATTCTCTCTCTAAGAATTGTGTGTATGTCAGCGTCAGGTCAGAAACTTTAGCTGAGTCTCTCAAAAGTGCATCTTATTAGAATGAGGCTGAGACTGTGGGGACGTCTGGCCAGGCTCCCATGGAGAGGACTCAGAGGCCCTGGGGCGCTGTGCCTCAGACCCCACGGATACCAGGATACTGATCCCCAGCGCTTGTGGTGTTCAGGTCGGGGATGGAGTCAGCACGAGAGTCAGATCGCCAACCTGGCTTGTCTGAATTTGAGAAAATTACAATGAAGGATAACCCGTGATCCCTAGGGACGATCCTGTGGCTCCTGGAGGAAACTGCCTCCCCCTGCCATTTCAGGACAGCAAGCTCAGCCTTTTGAGCAGAGACCCCAGAAAGAGATGGAAGGATCATTAGCCTGGTCAGAGAAGCCAGGGACTGGGTGAGGCACTTTCCCAGGTGGCCTTTTGGAGACCTCTCCCAGCAATGGCTGGCCAGGCCTCCTCGTGATGAGGAGTGGGTGGAGGACAGGCCTGGGAAACTGCCTCCACAGCCTGAAGACCCCTTTTTGACAGATCTGTCCCAAAGACTGGAATGTTTTCTCCTTGTTTAAGGTGAAGGTAGTGTGTGGTGGGCCACAGGCAGGCAGCACCAAGAAAGAGGCCCTCTGACAAGGAGCAGCAGAAACTGTGCCAGGCCGGTGCCTTCCCGTGGCACTGCAGACCCTGCACAAGGTGCAGAGCTGAGACCGAGCACCCAGCAGGGGTCCCTTCATTGTCCTTGACCAAATCAACCCCCTGCTGTCCAAGGCCTGGGGCACCCAAGTGGGGATGAGAATGAGGGCCGTGGGAAGACAGACCCCCATGCAAATGGCTGGCTGCATGGCTGCTCAGAGGGCTCCTCCTCTTGTCCCCAGCTGCCCCTGTCCCTATGGAGTAGTGCTGATGGCAGAGGAAAGGGCAGCATGTGGCTAGTGGTCACACCTTGCAACCAGTGCTGTAGGCAGGCAGGTGCTGGGAGAAGAGGAACCATTCCTGCTGAGTCTGAAACCATTGTCCCAAGCCTTCTGCCCTCTGAAAAGGCTGGTGTTCTTGATGTGAAAACTTTCCCCTCAAACCCAACTGTTAGCGTTATTGACTTGCCGTTTGGCCTTTGGCAACTCTTTGGCCTCTGTGCCTCTAGCTTGTTATCTGTGAAATGGGGAGGTATGAGTGGCCCTCCAGAGTCTGTGCCTGTATAGGAGGGAGGACCTGGTGGGCACACTCCTTCCTGGGAGGTAGCCATGCCAACTGTTTGGGAGGCTCCTGAAAGGGGGGTAGGGCTAGAAATAGCCAGTGGTGCCCCGTAGCCTCCTGTGCAGAGCTGCATGTCTTTCAGGAGTGAGCACCTGCTTGCCCTTCCCTCACCCTCCTCTGGGCTGCAGCAGCCAGGGCTTCCGCCAGCCCCCCTGGCCAACCTTCCCCTCCACCTCGATGCAGGCTGCTCTCCTGGGTGGAAAAGGCAGCGAGATGCAATGCCACCCCTGGAAGGGATAGCACAGTGGATCGGGAAGACCTCGCTAATCAGTTCGGCTGTCTGCAGTGGAAGAGTAGGCTGCCTGCGGAGGCAGCAGCTTTCTGTTCTGGAGGCGTGGCCGTGAGGCTGAGATTTGTACAGGGGATTTAGTAGCTGCACGTGGGACTCAGAAAGGGCCTTTCAGACCCGAGATCCTGTGACGCTTAAGGCAGCATTAAGGGATTTGGCGTTAGACCTGCTGCTGACATCCTAAATCAGTGCCCACCTCCGAGAGCTGACAGAGACTTCACAGCCATCATTGCGTCTGATCCTCACAGGGCCCTGGAAGGCTGGGGGCTCTGTGTCCCCATTTTGTGGATGAGGTAGCACAGAAGAGGGGTTGTAGCTCTGAAGCCAGAGCGAGGCTTCGGGGCCTCCATCCCAGCTGTGCTGTGCACGCAGCTGCATGAGGAGCTGTCACTCTGCTTCTGCGCCTCAGTTTTTTCATCTTTAAAGTGGAGATAGTAATAGGGTTGTTGTGATGATTTAAAAATGCAGATGATAACAAGCAGGTAGCACAGCCTGGCGTGGAGAGATCATTACTGTTACCTGTGCAGTTGCCCAGAGTCACCTGCAAGTAGTAAAGAGGGCCTGGCCCAGGCACTCAGCCCTGAGCAGGTATGGGGCATGCGGAGCTATGGAGGTGCCGGCTCATTCCCAGCCAGCCTGGTGCTGCTCCTGTCACTGTCCACGCCCTGTCTCTCAGGACACCAAGCCCCTCGAGGGGCAGCCAACCCGACAAGTGGCCCCGAGGTTGTGACATTGGGAGACGGTCCATGGCTGAAGAACCAGCCACCAGCCTGCTGTCAGCTCTGGCTCTGAGCCTCCTGTCCACCCCCTTCCCACTCCCTTCTCACCACATGTGTCGGGTAGAGCACAGACCCTGGAGGCTTGAAGATCCAGATTTAAATTTGCTGACTGTGAATTTTTCTCCCCTCAGACCCTCCTTCTCCTCTTCTGTAAAATGGGAATAATACTAGCCTCATTGCTTTGTTATAAGGACCATACCAGAGACTTTAAAATATGCTCTCAGTAATAAAAAGCTAACACTGGCTATTCTTTGCCATCAAAATCCCACCTGCCTTACTTCTTGCAGATTCTCCTACAAAGGCAGAGCTTAAGCTACAACCAGGCTCGGTGTCCTTCCCTTTCACCCACCTCACTCCTTCACTGACTGATTCAGTCTTTGCAGCTGGTGTGTGGAGTGGTGGGGATGGGAGGATCACTAAGATACAGATTCTACTGTGAAAAGGCACTCCGGGAAAGATGGACATGTGGTCACTGTGAGAACCCCGTGTGGTACAGGCTGTGGGGCAGGGAAGTTACAAGGCCCTGTGGGAGTAGCTAGGAGAGAGCAGGTACCCCGAGGGGTGGGGCAGGGAGGGCTTCACAGAGGAGGTGCTGTTCGAGCCGGGTATTAGAGGGTGTGTAGGAGCCTGCCAAGCGGAGAAGGGAGGCAAGGCATTTATTCCTGCAAAGAAAACAGCACTGGAAGGGGGGAGTCGGGGAGCAGCAGTGACAGGAGACAAACCAGGTGAAAGGCCCAGGCTGCCTGGTCCAGGCCCTCTTGTGACCCACACAGCCCTGCCTTGGTTGTACTGAACTGAGCTGAGAGACTCCCGTGAGTCTCCATATTGCATGTAGAATGAAGCGGTAATCCCCGAGCATAGAAATGGAGTCTCCTGCTCCTGCAGCACTGAGCCTATTGAAGGCCCCGCATGCTGACACCTGAATCAGGCAACTTGACCCAGAGCTTAGGGGTGTGTGGACAACCCAAACCTGGGGCAAGGTGGGGTATCTGTACATGCGGGGCTTTGGGGGCAGCCATGGGACAGGCCTTTCAGAAGTATTCCTTCCCCCGCTGCATTCAGGCGCAGCCCCTCAGCCTGCCAGCAGTGTGTTCTCCCTCAAAGTTTCTAAGGTGGGCGCCATCACCGAGCCCACCCCTTTCACCCACCAGGGACCCGAGGGAAAGTGCCGACCGGGGTCACGAGCCCAGATGGGAGCAGCTTGCTGGGCATCCATATGCTTTGAGAACCATTCTGAGGCTCCTGAAGATGCGTTTAAAGTTGTGACTGTCCCTCTGTGCTGGCTTGTCATTGTCCTGTCATTTGGTTCCCACCTCCCCCACTTTTTTAAACAAATGTGTATTTTTCCTCATCAGATCCTTTCCGCAGACTAACCCTCTCACTTATATTCTGTTTGTTTTTCCTCCCTCTTCTCTCTCCGGTTCCCTTTCTCCTTCTCATAGACTGACCCTTGGTTATCGTTGCAGAATTACGGCAGCGGCATGAGACCACCACCCAGCTCCCTTGGCCCCGCTATGCCCGGCATTAACATGTAAGGCAAAAATGACCCTGCTGGCGGCTCAGAGCCCCTGGCTTTCCCCACCCTCCACTGGCCCCCCAAAAGACTCGCTATCATAGTAATTACTGGCACCTCTCTGAACCTCAGTCTCATCATCAGTGAAATGAGGATGTCGATGATACTGATGATGAGAGCTCACAGTGTCAGTTCTTGCCAGGCACGGTTCTGAGCTTGCTATATGAATTGGCTCACCTAACCTTCTTAATAACCCTAAGAGGTGGTGGTTACTACCCCCCACTTACAGACGAGGAAGCTCAGGCACAGAGAGGGGCTATGTGCACAGGCCCACATAGCTCTACGTGGCAGGGTCAAGGTGTGAGCCCTGTACAAGTGACCACGAGTGCTTCAGTGCTTCCTGACCTCTTCGCAGTGATAGACCCCTATGAGAATCCGTGGATTCCCTTCCTAGGAAAATGCATGTGCCAAGGAATTGTATATACTTCACAAATTTTACACACACTTTATAGGAGCTGACAGATTTCTATCCATGGAAGTACCCACTACTGTCCAAGAACAGGATGGTCTCTAAGTCCCTAGGACTCTATAAAAGGCTTCCTGTTAGTGATTTCCACCCTCCCCTCCTGCCCCTGCTGGCACCACCCCCATGGAGTTCACAGCACCTTTTTCATTGTCTCCATCTCTCTTTCCCTCCCTCTCTCAGGGGCCCGGGAGCCGGCAGACCCTGGCCCAATCCTAACAGTGCTAACTCAGTGAGTACCCAGGTTGGGTGAGGTGGTGTTTGCCAGGATGGGGGCTCTAGGGTACAGCATGGTTCCTGTCCCCATGTTGGAGGTGTCATGCGGAGGGGGATGCAGCAGGACTCCACCTGATACTTCCAGGGAGAAGCCCACCTGTACGTGGAGGCTTGGGAGTGACACCTGGGGGCCATCAGGGGCTTGACGCCTGCCCAGCCACAGCCTAGCAGCTCTCCAGTGTGAGCTGAGTGCCTGGCTTAGAGAGCATCGTCCACACAGAGGCTCCTGCCGACCTCCGTTCCCTGGCAGCAACTGGCTCCCAGCACAGTGAGGGAGGAGCTGGGAAGGGCCTCAGCCCACACAGTCTGCGGCAGAAGGCCCAAAGGGTGGGACGAGCCCTTACTTCCTGCCCATTCAAATGGAGGGTCTCCCATGCCATGGTCCCCCTAGCCTCCAGCCAAGGCTCTTGGGATAAGTCAGTTCAATGTAGGAACTGGACTTTACTCACACCCCTGGCCCTCTTAAGGAAACTAACTGGGTAGCTCGGTGGGTCCCACAGCCTTTCCCATCAAGAGTGGGGTTGTGTCCCCAGGTGGATTTGGAAGCCAAAGGGTGCTGCCCATTGGAGCAAGTGACTCTGACATGTGACTTCCCCACCTCTTGTTTCTAGATTCCGTACTCCTCCTCATCACCTGGTACCTATGTGGTAAGTATGTGCGGGTTTGGGGCATTGCATGTGAGCCACTTGTGCCTGAGTGCACAAGAGAACTGGTCAACGGTCCCTGTCTCTCTCCCTTTCAAAACACGTTCCAAGCCTAGGTTCCAAACTGCTAGAACTTGGTGTCAGCATTCAGGTGTCTATGCCTTCTGTGGTCCAGAAGTCCCCAGACAAAACCCTGAGTTTGGGCTCACCATCTAGGGGACTGACCGGCGGGCTGGTTGGCTTCCACTGCAGGCTTCTGGTGTCACATATGGCCACGAGTGTAAGCACAGACAGTCACACACACACCCACATCTGCCTCTAGGTTTAGAACACAAGTCCAGTTCTCCCAAGGCTTAAACATGTGGGCTCTGCTTGAGCTCTGGAGCTTTAGCGAGAGTTGAATACCGGGCTAGGCCCCAGGTGAGCCCTTGCTGCTGATGTGGCTAGAGCTTGGTGGCCTCTCCCAACGTGTGTCATTGCCATGAGTGTCTAATGTCAGTTTGTATCTCCAGGGACCCCCTGGTGGTGGCGGCCCCCCAGGAACACCCATCATGCCTAGCCCTGCAGGTAAGTGGGCTTGGGGAGGGGTGCTACTGGAAGAGTAGGGAATCCTAGAGGGCCCAGGTGCAGAGCCAAAGCTTACCAGCCACTCTTCTTTAGTAGCACATACACCATCAGGGATCTTGGCATCAGGAATCTAGTGGGGTGGAGGCCCCTTGGTGCCACCAACCCAGCATGTGGCACATGCCAGGTCACACCTCATCTCTGGTTACAGGACAGGGCAGAGCAGAGAGATCCAGGAATTGAGGGGTCTCGCTGCCCTCAGCTCTCAGTGGTCAGAGAACACTGTCCTAGTTGTGCATTTCTCTAGATGACTGAAAAGGGGGTTGGGGGCTCTGGCCTCCAGGAACCAGAACTCTATAGCATGATGCCTTTTGAGTTTCCAGAGCCCTTGGCTTCTCTGTATAGGAGATTTCTTCCCCCTTTTTCTTTAATCAGAAGAAGGCATACGTGCACACATGGGCATGGACATGTGCATGCATGCACACACACGCACACCATCACAATTGTGTTTCTTTTCCAGCTAAGAGTAGCATACCATCAACTAGGAGGAATTCAACATACAAATAATCTTTAGCCACCCCAAAAAATAAAAAGTGAGAGGTAGTTGGATTTCTGCCTGAGAAATACGGTGACTGCCCCTGATATAGACATGCTAGTTGATTTCCTAGGGAGACTTTTCTGGCTGATGTGGGGAGACAGGGGGCTCCCTCTCTGCCACCCCTCCTCAGCACCCCACAGCTAGGGAAGCTGTTCAGATGCAGGGGTGGAGCCGGTGGCAGCCCTGACATTCTGGCTCCTGCTCCAGCGCCCTCCTTCTGCTGCTGCATTTTTATGAGCTGCGTGACCTACATTCAGACTGGGTCACGTTAAACCACTCCATATGTTAATGCATCTCCAGCCCCATCCCTGCCTCTCCCTTCTGCCCCATCAGCTTGGCAGGGTGGCTCCTGGGTGTTCTGTGGCGTTTCTCTTTCCCCAGTTTGATTAAGACTGCTGAGCAGGGTTGGGGGGAGAGCACGGGTGGTGGGCTGGCTGCCCCTGCACTGTCCCAGGCAGTGTCTGGAGATCAGATTTGGTTTGGGGAGGGGAGTCGAGAATTTAATCCTGTAATGCCCCTTTGCCGTGTCCACATTACTGTCCAGACGCCCTGAAATTCTTCGTTTCAGGGTTGAGTAGTTTTCACAGTTGAATTTTCTGTGATTAAAAACTTTGTGAATCTTCATTAAATACAAATTAGCCAGAAAATGGTGGTACTTAGAGGAGATTTTAAGTGATAAAATACAAAAGAATGAGTTCAAGTGCCATGAGTTTGTTTTAATTAAGAAATGGATTAATCACCCCGACTTGCGGGTTTCCACTGTTCTCCAGATTCAACAAATTCCAGTGACAACATCTACACAATGATTAATCCGGTGCCGCCTGGAGGCAGCCGGTCCAACGTAAGTCTGCTTTCTAATAATTTACATATCAGATACCATAACAAATCATAATTAACTTCATCAGCTAAGGGGAAAGCAAGTTTAATTGATTTCAGCCATTTGTTACCAAAGATGAGTAAAACAAACCATCAGAAAAGTGATTAACTCTTGGGCAACTCAGTTCCCGTTGCATAGGTGGCAGGGGGTTGGGGAGAAGTGGGTGGAGTGACTCCCACCCCTCTGATCCGAGGGGGGCATCTGGCCCTGCTGTGAGGACCTGCAGCACTCCGAGTGTGTGTTGGTGAGGGAAAGGACCAGGCAGCAGCTGGACCTGGGCCAGTCCCGCTCCCTCTCAAGTCTGTTTCTTCAGCCATGGAGCTGGGGTGGAGGCCACAGCAGGAGCACGTGGCCCATCGCGGACCTACCTGCCCTGGGCCTCCAGGGCCTGGGGGCCCTCCAACGGGGGCCCCCTTGTAGCGTCTTCAGCTCTCCTTGGCCTTGAAGCCACTCCCTTCCTTCTTGGCCTCAAAGTTCTAGCACTCGATGATGTTGCAACTCAAATTCTGCCTTTTCTGATGCCTGCTCATCTACTCCCTGCTGTGTTCCATGCTCCATGTCCCCTTTTAAATGACTGCAGGGTGGTCTGTCTCCCTCTCCCAGCTGGCAGCTCTCAGGAGAAGGCTGGTCTGGCTCACCTCTGCAGACAACCCCTCCACACCAAGTGGGGAGGAAACCCGGCCTGCCTTGCCTGTGGGAAGCTCAGTGTCTGGAAAGGAGGTTGCTGTGTGACCAGATGACTAGTGTGTGGACTGCCGAGCCAGAGGGTGGACTTGTGGCCCCCAAGTGGCCTCTGGCCTTTGGGGCGCTCTGTCTGGTCCTGTTGGCTCCATTCCTGCTATGACACCTGAATCTCCCTTGGAGCTAACTCCTGATGGGGGCTGCTCCATGCAGGGCACGGCCCATGTTTAATCTTCCAGCAGCCTCTGGGCCGAGGGTCTCTGGCCTCCCTCCTGGTCTAGTGAGAGGGACTTGAGCCAGGGACACCGACTGAGGTGTATGGGGGCTGCACTCCTTACCCATTGCCCTGCCACCCCTGTTGCTTCCTTCTGGGCAGCCAGCACCTCCCACACCCTGGCATTGTTGCCCTTGCCTCTTTCTAGGGTGACCAACCATCCGAGTTTTTGCACTGAAAGCCCTATGTCACAGAATATGACTTCCCAGGACACACACAGTCCTGGGTTTTGGCAATGGGTGCATACGTTTGAATGGAAAAGTGTAAGACCTATACAGCGGCCCAGAAGACAGGGACTCGGTACACTGTGCTTTAGCGTCAGATTGCCCTCTTCCTCTAGTCACTGTGGCCATATTTCCCCTGACCACGGGTGCCCGCACTCATGTCTGTGGTTCCTGATGATGGATCTTGCATGCTGCGTCACTGCAGGGAGCTGGGTCCGCCTTCACCTCCACCTGCAGATGAACTACTATGCTTTGTGTTGAGATGGTATAGGTTTCATTTTTCACATTGTGAGTATTATGACCTTGTTTTCTAAGAGTTCAGGTAATGAAAATGAGAACAATGACACCACCTCCAGCAGTATGACCCACACATCTCCTCCAAAAAGGCTAAACAATGGTGCTGCTGTAATGACAGGTGGGAGGACACACACACACTGGATTAGGGAGACAGACAGCCAAAGGGGAACGTACCACATGGTATGCAGAAAAGAGGAGAAGGGCATGTGAAGACGGCGAAGGGAAAGCTCGGTGGAGACTGAATCGCATGAGTCTGGGATGAGACAGGCATGTCCTTCTAAATCAAGCCAGAGTTTTCTTCGTCCTCTGAAGAGACGCCAATGCTCAGTACACAATCGTGGCCACACATTAGCTCGGGCATATCCCCCAAGGAACCCATCACCATGCCATTCCCTTGATGGCTCCATCAGCTGAGAAGGCTGCAACTAAGTCCTGTGGGTGAATGGAAGAGGGACTTCGGATGACAAAAGTGTCGGTCCTTTACGGCCTAGAGCTGATTCTGTTGGATCTTGCCAACAATCAGGTGAGCTTCCTACAGAATATCAAGTGGTGCATCAAGTCATGCCAACAAAAACATGTTCCCCTGCTTGTAGGTACTTTGCCTTGAACACTAGAGCTCCAAATCATCATCTTGATTTCTATGAAGATTTGAATGAAACTGCAGGAAACAAAAGAATGTTGTTCTCTGGCCCAAGTACAAACTAGGCTTTCCTCTTCTTTTTGCATCTTTGGCAGACAGGACACGGTTAATTTGGCAAATACCATTTGTCTATAAACATCTTACCTGCTAAATGCCTCGCACGCCTCCCCGACACCGCTATAGAGAGGTGTGACCTGGTTACTTGTGATATGAGCTTTCATCATGAAAGGTTTTGGTCACTTGTCAATTTCTTCAGAATGTGCAGAAGCCCTTAATGACACTTTTGACTGTAGAAATGGAGAGAGCCTCAGACACACGCCACCAGATGGCTATCATTGCTGCTGGCCATAGAAAAGATGTGAAAATGTCAGCCTGCAGTGATATCCTCCTCTAATTTGGAAATAAGTTGAGATGAGACTGGAGAAGGGAACTACAGTAAAACGGAAATGTATGTGCTATTTCTGCAGAACTGTGTGATGATCTTTAAAGAGGTCACGAAGAATGCAGACGAGGATGAGCACACTGCACCTGAGTTGTTCAGAGTTGTTGGGGGTTGTGACGAAACATCTGCAGCCAAAATAATGACTTGAGTTTTAGAAATGAAACTGCTTGGGAACTCAAAAAATGCCACCAGTGCGGTCAGCCACATTCAACAGGACTTCCTCAATTTCTTTATTAAAATTATAACTTACTGGGAATCCAGTTTGGATCTCATAGCTTCATATGATCTCTGTGCTTTACTTTAAAACCATTTTTTCTCTGAGAAAGAGTTTTAATTGATAATGACTTCCAGTGTACTTCAGAATGTTTAGAAATTGTAAACATCTTAGACAGGGGTAGCCACTTAATGAATTTGTGGATGCAAAGGACCCAACTGACAAGTGGCTGGCCTGCCAAAACTAGTCTGTAGTTGCAAAGTGGATGGGCATCTTTGGAGAGCGGAGAGAGGATCCAGCAGGTCTAGAACCCCATGCAAGTAAGTAAAATCCTAAGTACTCCATGCATCAACGTTTTTGTGGAGAGGATAGTTTGGTGGTACCATGTTGAGGCTGACACCAGGGGTTGATAAGGGCAGAGCAGCAAGTCCAGGGGAATTTTGCATCTGACTCTCTGTTCAGTTTTACCACTACATGAAGGAAGACAAGTTGTTCTAAAGGCTACAGGCAATTCAGAGAAGTATTAGTAGAAAAGCCAGCACCTTTAGCCTCATTGTACCTGTGAAAGCAAGAAGGAACACCAGCTGTTCTACTGGAGCCCCCTGAGAAAATGTGACCCGGATTCTTGCTTTTGCCATGTCTTCTCAGACTGCCAGGGTCCGATCCAGAAGTACGGGCTCAGTATGAGCCACCAGCGGATCCCATCAGGATGCAAAGGATATAGGCTTCATCAAGTTGGACTAAATGATCTTCCTTGAATGGATTATCTGAGACATCTACCCAATGAAAGAAGCAATACTAGCTGTTTGTACTAGATAAATAAATAAAACATTTTTAATCTTTAAAAACTAAAAACTTCTAATCTTTAAAAAAAAGGCAAGGCAAAAATATCCTGTTACAATAAAGGGCAGAAACAAAACATTTTTAAGAATTAAAGTATGTTTATCAGTCCTATTGTATTTAGGTTTCTCTTTTTAAAAATCTTAAATTTATGTTTCAAGAATACACAGTAATATAGCCTACAAAGTTTAAATTTCCAATGAAGCAACTATATCAGAGGACAGAAACATAAAAATGTTAAATTTTTCTCATCATTTGTTTAACTAGTCCTCCTAACTGCTACTGTTTACTATGGTTTTGTTTAAATGATAACATTTATGTAACCGAAAAGTAAATAATACAGAATAAACAGATGGTGCTGGGATAACTGGATATCCCCCTGTAAATGAATGAAGTTGCACTGCATCCTTAACCAGTACACAAAAATTAACTCAGTGTAGACCCTAGACCTAAATATCAGAGCTAAAACTATAAAACATAAGAGTAAATCTTTATGACCAGGGTTAAGCTATGAACACCAAAAGCACAAGTGACAAAAGGGAAAAAGTAGGTACGCTGGACTTCATCAGAATTTAAAACTTGTGTTTCAAAAGACACCATCAAGAAAGTAAAAGCACAACCCACAGATTGGAGAAAATATTTGCAAATCATACATCCGATAAGGGACTTGAACCCAAAATATGTAAAGAACTCTTAAAACTCAACAATAAAAAAAACAACCCAGGTAAAAAATGAGCCAAGGATCTGAATAGACATCTATCTCTCCAAAGATATACAAGTAGCCAATGACACATGAAAAGATGCTCAGCATTATTAATTACTGGGGAATTGCAAATGAAAACCACAGTGAGGTACTCCCACACCCCCACTAGGATGGCTGTAACTAGAGACAAATAACAAGTGTTGGTGAGGATGGAAGAAATTGGAGCCCTCATACATTGCTGGAGGGAATGTAAAAGTGTGCAGCTGCTTTGGAAAAGTTAAACAGCATATGGCCCAGCAATTCCACTCCTAGGTAAGCTACCTAAGAGAAATGAAGACACCTATTCACACTGTAACTGTGCACTGATGATCATAGCAGCATTATTCGTAATAGCCAAAAAGGAGAAACAACCTAAATGTCCATCAACTTACAAATAAATAAATAAAATGTGGTCTGTCAGCACAATGGAACGTTATTTGGTCTTAAGAAGGAATGAGGTTTCAATTGGTGCTACAATATGAATGAAGCTTGAAACATGCTAAATGAAAGAAGCCAGCCACAAAAGTCATATATGATTCCATTTATATGAAATATCCAGAATAGGCAAATCCATAAAGGCAGAAAACAAACTGATGGTTGCCTGGGACTGCGAGTTTGAGGGGGAGTGGGGAGTGACTGCTAATGGGTACAGGGTTTCTTTTGGGGGTGATGAAAATATCCTTAAACTGTTGATGGTTGTACAATTCTGTAAATATACCAAGAACCACTGAATTAGGGACTAGTTGTGTGGGGATTAAAGCCCCAATAAAGCTGTTGATAATATACAAAAAAATGTACAATAATGCATAACTTCGAATGTTCTTAAATTTATGTTAAAGTAATAACATTTATGTATATAAATGTTTATTATATTATGTTTGGGGGTTTGTCTGATATGCGTGTATCCTGGATTGACTCCCTAAAAAGTTGTCCACCCTCATCCTCATATCACTTGGGTTAATAAGCATAAAATGTGTTGCCAGATGTCACAATGTGCCCCAAAGCCTGTGAGTGGCCACTGGCAGGCAAGGATGCTGTACCCATGGTATATGTGAGTGGGCGGGCAGGTGTGAGGAAGTGGCTCCTCACACTGGCCTGTGCTTTAGCCTTTCCAAGCAGCCACCTGCTGGAGGCCTCTTCTGTTCATGCAGGACCCCTTCCTGGAATGAGTTCTGTGGCCTGGCTCTTACTGCCCAAATTCTACCCCTCAGTTATTTTGATGCCTCCTCCTCCATGCAGCCAGTTCTGATTTCTCTGCCCTCTCTCCAGTGCCTCTTGCTGAAGCTGTGGCCATACTTTGTCTGCAGCTCCCTTTGGAACAGCACATCTGTTGTGGGGTAGTTTGGTGTCCATGACAGTGATCTCCTCTGGGCTATGACCCTGCTCTGTGTCCTACTCCCAACCAAGATGCCACACAGTCCTCCATCCTGCCACCTTCAGCTCGGGCCCACCCTGACATTCATCTGCAGCCTGGGCTCAGCCATCCCTTTGTGGCCATGCATGTGCTGCTTTTCTGAGATGGGTTTGATAGTTGCAGACAGGCCTGGGGATGTAGGCAGAGCAGACACCAGCTCTGATCTGCTCACGCCAATAGTTCTGCAGGGGGACCTCATTAGTGTCCTCCCTCCACGTAGTCCCAAAGAAAGAACTCCTGTCCCCAGGAAACATCATTTCGGAGGAAGTGCTTGGAGGAGGCTGCTAGGATGGCTCCAGGTCCAGGCTGCCCCATTCCAGTCCCAGCTCCTCATCTCCCACCTGGGAGACCTCAGGCAGAGCACTTCCCATTCTGCTTCAGTTTCCTCATTTGTAAAATTGGGATGAGAAGCATTTATGTTTTTGGACCTGGCCTGGCTCAGTCACCATCTGTGTGAGGGTCCGACCATGAGCCACACACTCCCCACCAAGGTGGAAAGAGCCCTATGATGGGACCCAAAGGGTTCAGTTGGAGAGCTGGTGCCCCATGCTGCTGGATGGCTCTGTGCTAGTCCCTTTCCCTCTCTGGATTGGTTTGTCCTGGGTAGGAATGAGCACCACTGCCCTGCGCAACTCTGAGGCCGAGGTGAGGTGCCAGCCCCAGCCTCCCAGCATATGTATGACAGGAGTCCCACCAGAATGGAAGCCCCTGTGGGAATGGGAATGGTGAAAGGGTGCAGAGGGCCTTTGGCCCACTCTGCCACCACACTTGTGTGTTTCTTCCTCAGTTCCCGATGGGTCCAGGCTCGGATGGCCCCATGGGAGGCATGGGCGGCATGGAGCCGCACCACATGAACGGATCATTAGGTAAGCCAGCAACTACTCTGGAGCCATGCCCCGCCCCGTGCTCAGCTCCTGCCTCAACCAGGCTGGTCCACAGCCCTGGCCTTGGCCAGGCACATGGGAAGATCCCAAGGGAAACAGCCCGGATGGAAGACTGCTCAGAAATAGTGTGGGATTTGGGTGGAAGGATTTGAAGGTCTCTCCATGAAAAGCAAACAAGAAACTGAACCAGATTCTGTTTTCTTCCAGGGTCTGGTGACATAGATGGACTTCCAAAAGTGAGTGCATTCAGCCATCCCTTTGTGGCCATGCATGTGCTGCTTTTCTGAGATGGGTTTGATAGTTGCAGACAGGCCTGGGGATGTAGGCAGAGCAGACACCAGCTCTGATCTGCTCACGCCAATAGTTCTGCAGGGGGACCTCATTAGTGTCCTCCCTCCACGTAGTCCCAAAGAAAGAACTCCTGTCCCCAGGAAACATCATTTCGGAGGAAGTGCTTGGAGGAGGCTGCTAGGATGGCTCCAGGTCCAGGCTGCCCCATTCCAGTCCCAGCTCCTCATCTCCCACCTGGGAGACCTCAGGCAGAGCACTTCCCATTCTGCTTCAGTTTCCTCATTTGTAAAATTGGGATGAGAAGCATTTATGTTTTTGGACCTGGCCTGGCTCAGTCACCATCTGTGTGAGGGTCCGACCATGAGCCACACACTCCCCACCAAGGTGGAAAGAGCCCTATGATGGGACCCAAAGGGTTCAGTTGGAGAGCTGGTGCCCCATGCTGCTGGATGGCTCTGTGCTAGTCCCTTTCCCTCTCTGGATTGGTTTGTCCTGGGTAGGAATGAGCACCACTGCCCTGCGCAACTCTGAGGCCGAGGTGAGGTGCCAGCCCCAGCCTCCCAGCATATGTATGACAGGAGTCCCACCAGAATGGAAGCCCCTGTGGGAATGGGAATGGTGAAAGGGTGCAGAGGGCCTTTGGCCCACTCTGCCACCACACTTGTGTGTTTCTTCCTCAGTTCCCGATGGGTCCAGGCTCGGATGGCCCCATGGGAGGCATGGGCGGCATGGAGCCGCACCACATGAACGGATCATTAGGTAAGCCAGCAACTACTCTGGAGCCATGCCCCGCCCCGTGCTCAGCTCCTGCCTCAACCAGGCTGGTCCACAGCCCTGGCCTTGGCCAGGCACATGGGAAGATCCCAAGGGAAACAGCCCGGATGGAAGACTGCTCAGAAATAGTGTGGGATTTGGGTGGAAGGATTTGAAGGTCTCTCCATGAAAAGCAAACAAGAAACTGAACCAGATTCTGTTTTCTTCCAGGGTCTGGTGACATAGATGGACTTCCAAAAGTGAGTGCATTCCGCAGTCTCCTCCCTAACGGGCCTGCCCCACCCTCCCCTGAGGCCCCCACAAAGCCTCTCCCCATCTGGTAGGCAGGTGGCTGGGCACGCAGGCTCACTTCCTCTCCTCTCTCTGCAGAATTCTCCTAACAACATAAGTGGCATTAGCAATCCTCCAGGTACCCCTCGAGACGACGGGGAGCTAGGGGGGAACTTCCTCCACTCCTTCCAGAACGACAATGTGAGTGCTGCCCCAGCAGGCCTGCTGCAGGCCCTTCCCATCCATCATTTTCCTACAGAAAACAGAGCCCTTCCCTTCCTCCCCTGACTGTTACACCTGAGGGCAGGTTGTCCTGGAGGCACTCGTCTGTGCAGGCAGATGCCGCCAGCACTAACTGAGCTGATGTGGCTGGAAAAGCCCCAGGCTGGGTCTCAGGCAGCATTGTCCCTGGGCAAATGTTCCATTGGTCCTGGGGAGGAAGATTCATGCAACCAGTGATTTCCTAGGGTCTCAGTGCAGAAGGGCCGGCCATCTGCTTTTCCATATTGGGCTGCTATTTGCCGTTTCAGCTGAAGAAACGTCATAGCTGAACAGCCTTTGAGACCCCCAGACTGGTTTCCACCCTGGGCACCCTGGCTGTACTCTGGCTTGCAAGACTGTGGCCCGCTCCTGGAGAGCTGCTGGCCCTGTGCCCATGGCAGGGATAGAGCTGCTTCCTCAGCTGGAGAGAAGCTGTGGTTTAGAGAGAGGGGAAGGGTGAGGTGACATCATCTCCCATAGTTCCTGATGAAGGGACACAGGCTGGTACTGAGAGGTCCCCTCCCCACCCAGGACTGTCACATGCCTCTCAGCCCAAGCACACTGACTGGTCCCGTCCAGCTCCATGCAGCCAGATCTTCACGAGGCTCCCACACCCTGGCCCTCACGACCCCCCTTTTCTGCTTCTCCCCTTCCAGTATTCTCCAAGCATGACGATGAGTGTGTGATCCCCCTCCTCTTCTCCAAGACGCTGAGAGAGCCGGCATTGCAGGCGGGAAGATGCCAGAAATTATGCAAGAAGAAATGAGGTGTCATTACCCAGGAGCTGGGGGAGGGGCGTCTTCCCGTTCCCCCTCACCCCCACCCTCTCCCTCCATTTCTCCCTGTCCCAATTTTGGTTTCATGCAATAAAAAGGCCGAACTTTTTATTCCATAAAACATGAAGGACAAAACTCAAAATAATAACTTTCAAGTCAACTACCAGAAAAATCCCATCCTTTGCCCTTTCTCAAAAGGACCTTTTATGTACATGACACTTTTTTGTTGTTTTTGTTTGGGGTTTTACCGTTGTTGGGATTTTTTTAATTTGTTTTCAGGGGGTATTTTTTTGGGGAAAAATTTTTAAAAATGGAAGCTTCTAGCAAGCCCCCCTTACCCCACCCCAATCAACCTCTTTGCTTTCTTCTTTAAAAANTGTGTGTGTACCCAAGCCCTTCCACCAGGAAAGCTAGTCTAGGTGTGAGATTTCACGCTGTCTTTGTAGCCATCTAAAAACAATAATAATAATAAACTGGGCAGTTTACAATTGGTGGTTTCTTTCAAAAGGCCTTTTTTGGAAAGAAAGGAAGTTACTTTTCCACTTAGGGGTTCTTGGTTTGTGCAGATGGGCAAGGGAGGGGAAGGGGCCTGTTTTGTTTTTGCTTGGTTTCTGCACAACTTGGACCCCAGGCCCCGCGCCCACCCCCGTGGTGGCCAGAGGGAGCCCAACCACCTGACCGCTTTCAGGATTCGGCCACAGCAGAGACTCACGGTGCACGTCCCCAGGACTGCTTCCTCTTCTCTCTGCCGGACCCCACTCCTGCGCTCCGGCACCTCCTCAGCCCCCACCCCCGTCTTCCCAGAGAGAATCCTGCCGGCTGGGCTGGGTGGTGGCCTGCAGCGTAGGGGCAGGCCGCCCCGACAGGGTGGCTGTGACCTGCGACATAGAAGCCGTGCCCTCCGCGTTCTCATCCCAGTGGCCCTCGCATCCTTGTCGTGTGTGCGGGCAGTGTAGGGCTGGAGTTTAGGTTTTTTGTTTTTTCTCTTCCTTTTTTTTCAAAGATGGGGTATTGACCAGAGTTGCTCTGTATATGCTTGGAACTGTATGGAGAGACTTTGGAACAGCTGTGGGGGGTCGGGGGCACACCAACAACCGAACAGACATGCTGTTTCCGGTCCTGTTTTTATTTTCAAAAACTGACAAGCGCGACAGTGGAGCCCTTGCCCCCGGGAGGGGTGACTCACGGCCTCCCTCGCTCCCCCACTGGAACCTCCGTCTCTTGCCCTGAAGGCACCCGAATTCTTTGTACATTTACACCCTGCGCCCCCTCCCTGTAGCTGGTCTTTGTTTTCTCCCCTCCCCTTTGACCCATGTATATCATATTATGTGCGATATCATCTGCCTGAAAAAAGACCTTGTGCCGATTATTGGGAACATTGTAGCTGTTCTGTGTTTTTTCTTACCTTGTAGTCTGGTTCTGAGTTAAGAGAGGAAAAAAAAAAGTAATTATGATACATTGTAGTTTGTGTACGATATATGTTGATAACGTTTTATTAAAGGGACATCTTTTTTCCGCAGCCCTTCCTGACATGTTTGGGGAATTGCGGGTGGGAGTTTATTATTACGGTGATTGCAAAATGCAAGGCGACTAGTTGACAGAGGTTTTTTTCCTGGTGCTCAGCAAGATCTTGTTTTGTGTTGAAGGCATCTGCCGGCTTTTCCTGAGCCTGTTGGTTCTGCCTTTTCTGTGGAGAGTTGCAATGGCCTTTGGGACGGTGAGTTGGGAGGAAGGATATCAGTCTCACTAGAGATACTTGTGGGCATTCTAAAGGGCCACTTTTACGTTTCTTGTCTTGTAAACAGATTTTGGTTTGCCAGAATGTCTGTATTTTTCTGCAAGTAGAAGAAGGCTGCTTGGTGCCCTGGGTTTTTAATCCAGTCAGTATCTGGTCAGCATGGCCCTGGGGGCAACAGCTACACCCTGCTCTCCCATCAGGGGGAATTTGCTTCACTGGGCCTAAGGTGCTGGGCCTCGGGCTTTTCTTTCCCTTCCTTCCTCCCTCCTTTCTGCCTCCCCTCCCCTCCCCCCCCTCCCCTCCTCCCCTCCAAGGCATTGAGGAGCCCTTGAAAGGTTTTAAGAATCATGCAAGTTTGGCTTGAGTTGTAGAAAACCCCTACCAGCCACATCCTGGATGGGGCTGGACAGATGTGGGGAGACTCGGCCGCAGCCAGTATCTAGGTAAGAGAGCTGGGGTGAGGTAAGCCCCAGTGGATGCTGGTTGGAACATTTGGAAAGTAGAACTTTCTGCATCCCTGGAGCTCTGGGGACCTGTTCCCAGGCCTGCAGCCAAAGGGGAGGGAAACCCACAGTGTCAGCAGTGTGGGCTCCGTCCACCTTGACCAGGGCTGAGGGTACCGGACGGCAAATTGCCGTTTCAGATCTCGCCCTTGCCTACTTACTGTGTGGCAATGAGCAAATTCGTTTTCACCTGTCCTCAGTTTGCTCATCTATGAAATAGGGACAATGGCTTGCCGACCTCGTGGGGTGTTTGTGAGGATAAGCGAACATTTGTAAAGTGTTTAGAACAGTGCTTTGCACGTAGTTGGGAGCAGTATGTTAGCTCTCAGGTACTGTTCCTCCTGTCTAGGGAAAGCCCGGATGGGTGTGGTGGGAAGCAGCTGGGAGAGCCCAGACTATTCCACCTGCCCTTCCCTGCTCATCAGAGACAAGGCGTCCTAGGGTGTTCCTCAACTCAGACACTTCTGATGTTGGGAAACATCACTGTTGGACAAACGAGGGGACTCACAGTTCTGAAGAGCAGTTCCTCCAGTGTTGAGCTTCTGCCCTGTGCCAACCCAATGCTGGAAAAAGGAGATGGGTGGAGATGACGGGATGGCCATCTAGTACCCTGACTGCCACCTGTGCTCCCCAGAGGACTCCGGCACAGAAGAGCGGTGGGGGGAGTGCCAAGCTGGCAGGGAACCCAGGACGGGGGCAGGGCGCAGCCTGGAATGAGGGCCTCACTGCCCACCTCTGCCTGGGCAGTAAGCACACCAAGTGCCCTTCCATACCACCCCTTGGCCAGCAGCCCCCCATAAACCCATATTTGACTTTGTAACACTCACAGCCCTGGTGAGGGCTGGTTCAGGTGGGCCTTCCCACCAGGGCCAGACCTTTGAAGAGAGTACTGGCTTCTGTTCCCCTGCTCAGGCCTGACTGAGGTGCAGAGCCAGACTAGAAGCAGGCACTGAGCCAGGACAAGGATCCCAGACGGTGACAGGTGAAAGGGAGATGTCATTCCTATTCTTTCACAGTTGAGGGCTTCAGCCCATCACTGAAAGAGGCAGGAGTGGAAGAGCCAGGCCAAGAGGCGAAGCTTGGCAGCTACATTCCTACAAGACTCATCACTGTCCATGAGGCCCAATTCTAGGGGAGCTAGCCTCGGGGTCCAGAGTGAGGGCCAGGCCTGAAGTCAGAACAAGCTGGCCTGGCTAGAGGCCCTGTGCGCTTGCTCTGCCTAGGCACCCCTCCCTGCAGCCAAAAAGGAGAGTTCGAGGCAAGTCAGCTGCTGCCAGCCACGGTCTGGGGGTGGGGGGCATGGGGGGCAGGGATGTCAGCAGCTGCCAAGGCCCAGAGCCAGAGCAGGACTCTAGTTTAGGCTCAGCTGGGGCTGGAGCTTTCAGCCTGATGTGCCTGGGTGACCCTGAGGAACCCGCAGCTGCTGTCTCATGAGGATTTCACAGACCAGGGTGGGAGGGGGGCCTGCACTGGGAGCACCCTGTAAGCCGCTGTGAGGGCCATGCCCTGAACTGAGTGAAACTGGCCTCTTGGAGCACTGGGGCTCCCCTGGCCAGGGCTGGGCTGGGCAGGGGAGGAGAGAAAAGTGGATAGGCCTGTCTCACCGTGCTAACCCTGGGCTCAATGGACATGGGCATGGGGGTGCTGCAAACGAGGAGCGGGGTGTGCCTGATGGCTAGAGGGGCCACTCTGCCCTGCGCTAGTGCTGCCTCTCCATTCCTGGTGCGTGTGATGCCCAGTCCCGGGGCTTCTGTTACCTGCGCCTACAGCCACCTCCTTGGTTTCCTGCCTCCATCTCAGCCCTTCCAGTGCCACAAAGATCTAACACAGTTCTGGGCATTCTTAAGCTCTTCTTTCCATGCAGCCATGTGTGGATGTGTTGAGCACCTATTACATGCTAGGGGCCATCCTAGCACCAGGGCTATATAGTGAACAAAACACATGCAAGGGTGGAGATGCCCTTCACTGAGTAGGGCAGGCTGCCCAAAGAGCAGGTTGGGGTGACACTGTTTTGGCAAGTAGAACTTGAGGTGCTTGTTCAATATCCAGGTAAAGATGTCAAGTGGGCAGGTCTGGGCTGTTGGCATTCTTTGGGAGTTGTTGGCATTTGGATGGCCTTTAGAGCCACGACACTGGCTGAGATCATCTGGAGAGGGAATGGAGAAGGGCCCTTGGGCCCTGTGCTGCTCAGTGACAGATCTGGGAAGCAGGAGGAATCGGCACAGGAGGCAGAGAAGTGAAGAGAACAGCACAGTGAGGAGAGTGGTACCGGCTGCTGAGGGGCCCTCCAGGCCCAGGGACCCAGTCCACACTCACACTGCATTCAGGCAGTGCATGGCTGGGCCCCACAGGCCTCCACTGCTTTCTCCTGACCTTCAGTTCAGCACTTCATGCCCAGCTATGCAGAACCACTTACAGATGGATGCCCCCCCCCACCCAGGGCCTCTGTGCTTGCTGTATTAGTGTGCCTTTCCTACCTGTACTTCAGTAGCCAGCTCAAATGGCCCCTCTTTTGGAGCCTTATGGGCCAAGTTAGAGGCCTTCTCTGGGCCCCCACAACTCCAATGCTATAATGGGTCAGCATCTGCCTCCCACCTAAGGTGGGAGCTCTTTGAAGCCAGGGACTGCGTCTGAGTGTTGTCTCCAGAATCACCCACGACAAGGCCTGGCACCCAGCAGGTACTCAATGAATATTCAGGGAGCGACTGGATGTTGGCTGAGTAGTCACCCACTGCATGCTGTCACCTGTGGGCAGGTGCTCAGGTGTGAGGAAAGGGGTGGCCTTTATGGCTACCTGCTTCTGCAGATGCAAAGGAGACAGATTGCTCTCAGTGTCCACCAGCAAACTGGGAGCTCCCAGAGCTCAGGCACCACATCTCTTGTGTATCTCTGGCTCCCAGCACAAGGCCTGGCACACAATAGGTACTTAGAAAATGGGCTGAATTGTCGGACTGCCCCGAGAAGAGGTCTGCAGTGGAGAACCTCAGGGCTCAGTCCCTAATCCTGACCTATTCCTGGGTTCCCTCATGGCCCAGCTGGGGACGAGAAGAAGCTTTCTCTGTACTCAGCCAACACCCAGTCACTGCGGGAGGCAGTAGGTAGTTGGAGGGGCCATGCTGCTCTTGACAGGCTGGA